TTCTCTCTACCTCTCTCTGTGTCTCTCTCTACACACACTTTGAGTGTTCCAAGATGTGAACTAATCCAGCGATTTCTGAGCTGTGTGGGACGATTGTTTAGTTTTGTGCCTTGCAGTAATTATATAGGAAGTTGTGGCTATAGAATGCTGTTACAGTGCTTTTCAGAGAGCAAAGTTTAGCAAAGAAGAGAAAGCAAGAAAAGAGGGAAGAGAACGGAGGAGAGGAAGCAGGGAAGGAAAAGAACAATATAAACACATGCTTTGTCAAAATCTGCATCCTCTTTTTGATTTTTATTTGATCCTGATTCTTTTATGGGTTGCACAGTTTCCACAAGATTTCTTTTATTATAGTATATAATGCAGTGGGGCTGCACAATTTATTTCTTGATTAATCATTTGGTCTAAAAAATGTTGATCACAGTCTCCTGAAGTCTGAGGTGACGTTTTCAAATGACTTGTTCTGTCCAGCCAATAGTCCAAAACCCAAAGATATTCACTTCACTATCACATCAGACAAAGAAAAAACAAAAAATCCTCAGTAAGATTTTGTGGTCTCTAGTGTTGACATTTCAGATTGCCACCAACTGAATACAGCTCAGTCTTCCAAGCGTGTAGAAGAAACTGTGGTGGCCGCAAAACCCATGAAAACCGCGAAAGGCTTTTTCCAGAGCCAGTGTTTGGGTTGTCCATTTGTCTACTGTAGAAACATGGCAGTTCAACGTGGTGAACTCATTGAAGGCCACTATAAAAAATAGTTCATTCTAAGGGAACAAAAACAACAATTACTAAATTCAGGTGATTATACACTAATGAAAACATGCCTATGAATATTATATAATACATTTCTGCCAATAGATCCTCCTAAGGGTTACACACTAAACCTTCAAATGATTGACTGATAATCAAAAAAGTTGCTGATTAATTAATTAAGAAAGAAAGAAAGACACATGGAAAGAAAGAAAATAACAAGAGAAAGGAAAGATTCCTGTAACTCGGCTCTAACCAAATCCTCCCAGCAGTGTGTCTCTCTGGCTCTGTGTGTTCTGCTTTGTCATGAATTCACAGCCTTCCTCTTGTTTGGGTTGTTTTTCTGGATCAGAACTGGCCCAATCAGGCCCTATTTGGAGCATGGGGCGATGGGTGAATTGAGCCCCTCCCTCTCCAACTCCCTCTCTCCCCTAAAGAGAAACATGCAGCTCTGTGTTCTCCACTTTCCAAAATACAGCTGCTATGCAACAAAGTGCGCAAAAACAGCCAGGTGCCTGCCAGATATGCACGGATACCGCTCGCTTACTCGCTCCAGGGGAGGCGAGGCTTGTGTTTGTTGCGCTGTTTTGTTTTGCTTATAAGTAAAATGGTTGATTTCTCGTATGTGAACAGATGATTTCTTTTGACAGCCTCACATCCACTTACTCATGTGCACACAAAAACACACTTGGCCTGGTGAACACACACACACACACACACACACACACACACAAACTTCAGCCCCGCAGTTTTATGAATGGGTTGGTTGTGAAAGATTGGCTGAGGCAGCACATTGAGTTAAGGGGAGTGAACCGTCATTCATGACATTGGGGGACGTTATTCCACCACTAACAACACCTATGAGAGGTACCGGCCTTTATCTGACTACAACATTTTTTCAAGATCCAAGCTGTATTTGTCTATTCATGCTTTTATTTGCGCTTCCTTTCTTCTGAGTAGTTGCAATCACGTCTTTGGTTCCCCTTTGAGTTTTAGCAGAATTTGTTGTCAGATTTTTTTTACATTTTTAAAAGTTACTGCTAGTTTACAACATTATTTAGTCATCTTTAGTCAATCAAATTCAGCGAAAATGGGTTTGTAAAGGCCAGGCATGTCGAGTAATAGGCATTTAACAGCTTCCAGTGGGAAAGTAAAAGCTCTACTTCTGCGTGTTGATTCAGAACAGCCCTGTCAAAGCCAGGGGGCCGCGGGGATTTGAGCCAGGCAGCACAGCCCGAGTGTCAGCAGCATAGCTTTGTGAATGGACGGCAGTGTGTGTTTTATTACAGGAGAGTGAGGGGAGGTGTGTGGAAGGAAAAGAGAGAGTGTGTGTGCTAGTACATCCCTGCGATGCTCATGCGTGCCTGTGCATTTCTATGTCCCTGTTGGTGTGTTTACTCCAACGGGGACGACTCTGCTTTCTGCAGCTGGAATGTTTTCTTTTTTCAAAAGTGAAGCACAGACCAAAGAGGGGAACAGATGCTGTGAAAGAGACGGGGCGAGGCCGTAAAAATAACAGTAGTTGAACTTGAAACAATCATTATTAAAGATAGGGGAGTGTGTCAACCGTTTTCAGATTGGACATCTTGCCTGTTGAAGGTTATTCCCAGTTTTCTAAAGCTAGGGTCTCAGTCTAGTTTTGGCCATAATTTCTATTGGTGACTGAAGATTGTATATACCAAGTTAATTGGTGAGATCTGGAAATGTGGAGACTTTGGTGAAAAGAAGTCAGATACTTGTGAAAGGTCAGTCAGGTTGTAAAGGAACCCCTAGTTAGCCAAACTTTCCGTTTCAACCATCCAACACAGTTTACAAACGGGCTTTCTTGTTCAGTTTTAATCAAATGTCCATGCACAGTTTTCCGGTGCAATGAGGGATTATTGGGGACATCTGGCATATTTATTTTGGTTTTGATAATCTGGCTAGATTGAGTCTCAAAAAGTCAGTTTGCTTCACATAAAGCGCTTGTTGGATCATTAAACAATGCCTGAAACTTCTTTCACCCAGAAACCTTTCTGATGTCTGAATTGAGCGGGTTGTGGTCGACAATTTTTGTACATTTCCAAACAATTTGACATCCTCTTAAGGCAGCGACTGGCCAGGTGTGCAGAGGTGTTTAAATGGGCAGGATTTGAACTTTTGCTCATGTCGCTTTTCATATGTGCAGCACCATGAATGCCTTTTGAGCAAAGATTGTCTGAAAGTGTGTGCCGTTATCCTTATTTGAACAATTGATTGTACCTCGCCCCTTTCTGTGGCTTTTCACTTT